ATTTGATTAAGAGAAAGTTCTAATAACAACATTCGAAAACAAACTTATTGAACCACTTTAAATAACAATATGATACTGAAACAAAATGATGTGAATTTTATTTTAGAATTCCCGAGCTCTAGTGATTATGTTTATGCAAGCACATGCAGGATTCGTGGGAGTTGTGAGCGTGTGGTATATTTGTAATATTGCTATATGTGTTTACATAACACTGGATATGCCCTCCGGGTGTTCTTTTACATGAACATTTTTTCCTGTAGACATCCCTTGTTTAGACCAATTTTGATATTATTTTCTGATGCCTTCATTTTTACAATCTAACGAGTGACGTCATCAAATCCAGGAAGAATGACTCTGATTTGTGGATTGTGTTCATTACCGGTTGTCTCTATCCAAGGACCAGGTAGTTCGATCATGTCAGATGATCATTTACTGATACAGATATCCTTTGCATTAACTCTGCCCAAACAAAGCTTTAAAATATATCCGTAAGGAAATCTAAAGAAAATTAAAAGTCGATTATTTTAGCTCATAATGATATATGGGTTTAATGAATCGAGGGGGAAAATCCAAATAGAATTTGTTATTAATCTTCATTTCTGACAAGAAACCCTTAGATGATGTGAAATCGCTTGGAATTTGATGAGAATGAGAACTACTTGATACATTTGTATCTTATTGTTTCGACAGTTTTAGTAATTACCATTTTGAAGTTAAAACAACTGGAAAATGGATATTACATATGTAATTCTGTAAAAACGATATGTCAAATTTGGCCTTGACATTTGACACAGCCATCATAATCAATGAACGATGTGATCATCCAGTCTTGGCCAGTCTACTGGAATCTCATTCTCTAAATTAAACTGTACTCCTCAACGCTCAACCCTTTGTTCATTTTCGTGAATGGGAACTCGAACTGCACCATGGCAAAGAATGCTTTTAATATCTACTTGATTTCAACACCTTGTTCACAAAATGTATGATACCACAGTAAATATATTTAATAAAAGTGATTCAAAAATATTCACCTACAATGAAAAAATAATGAGAAACCATTTCCATTAAAAAAGCTAACAGTCTAATTTGCGACTATTAAATAGAGGCTAAACATAATTTGAAATTTTTGTCCCATTTTGCAAGGCCAGCTGATAATAAATATGTACTGTGTAAGCATATGTGGGAAAGACCAACAAAAAAGTATAACTATACACTACATATAAATTTCACTAAGAACGTAACCAAGCATACGATAAAAAGATCCCCACTATCCAAATAGATGATCTAAGCACAAAAAGCAATGGCTAATACCCCCTCCTCCAGCTTTTACTAACCATCATCACAATCTAAAAACCACGTGACCACGGGGTGTTCAAATAAGATCAATATGTAAGAAACAGCTTCAGATGTTTACATGAAAACACTCCTCCTATTTGGTTATTTTAAATTTTGTATATTTTTATTTTATTTTTAGATACAACAATTTATTTCAAGTGTGTACAACTGTTTTTCAGTAAATAAATAAATAACAATAGTTATAAATATGTGTATGGGGTTATTATATAGGTTTGGATGGTTATGGGTTGTTATTTAATATCTCTAAGATCGCCACTTTATTGTGTTATTGTTGAAATATTTGAATAAGTTGTTCAGAGCAAAGGTCAGATTGTCTTTCCAATGGTTCATCATTTTCTAAATGAAGTGCTTTATGTTGGTATATCTGAACTTTGTTATATCAAGCCAATGTATCATTGAAGAAAGTTCAGGGGTTTAATGTTTGAGTTCTCAAGTGTTGCTCTTTGTCATTTTTGAATTCTATAATGGTACGTGCAGACCGGCACCCTCTATAGTAAAGTTAGAATAGTGAGATTATAAAAATCTTTACTACTTTAGAGTTGGATTATTTGGTTTCAATAGCTCGCATATTTATCATCTTTGTTACACTTACATTTATAATTGTTTCTTTACTTGGCTATATTTGCGTTAAATCATGAAAAGACATCAGTTCCAAAATTTCAGCTCAACATTCAACCTTATTTGTCCACTCAAAATGTTATGAAAAGTTTTACTCTGGCTTCGGGTATAGAATTACACTATTGTGTATCCGTAAAGACTGCTACAAAATATCTGTTAAAAGTCAATAGTGTTCCCCGTTGGAGGCGGTCTAAATTCCAGAAGGCTTCATTTATGAATGGTCTTGTGTTTAGATACCTATGTGCCACTAAGCTCTCTGGGTGGTTATTTGAATGATCTCTTTGTCAAGAAAATTTGCAATGTTAGTAAAATATACAAATATAACGTTATGGAAGCAAGGAATTACCGTGCACTATTACCTAGCCAAATTTTATCACTCTATTCAGAATGCAACATTTTCTCATTTTATTCAGAATGCAACTCGATACGTTATGAAATGGAAAACAGCAATTTGAAGTTAAACTATCAGAACGTGAAATAGTACGCCTTTGCTTCTTGTTGAATTATTGGTGCACCTGTAAACGTCTCCATATCTATAGCCAATATTGCATTTTCCATCTGCAAGCTATCTTCATTTTTTACAAACGCCAATGTAAATCTATTTACCTAAACCCATATTTCATAACTACGTATAGACATAAGGAGACACTTTGCGAACTGTAAGTGGCATATTAGAAATATGATAATAGAAAGGTTATCAAAGTTATCACATGTTAAATGAAAATTATCAAAACTACAGACTAGAGTATAGCGAAAAGTAGAAAAAGCCCGTTTAATTGAATGTTGTGTTGAATTCTGAGATGCTTTTCATTGATAACGTCAATTTAACTTTTTAAAACATTTTGTAGTAGGTTTTCAGATTGCTTATCTCCTTTTTCAAAGTTCAAGAAGTAATGTAATAATGTATTACGGACTCGTTCATGTGGTTATAAAATTTCTTCTGATATAAAAACAAGACATGAACGGTGAAAGACGCTAGACTGTAATAAATATTTAAATAAACACCTGTAAAGGCTTTTTACATCTCATCTTAACTAAGTCGTTATTATGTTATAAATTTGTGTTTTAAATAAAAAACAATGATGGTTTATGCGAATTAGCTTCAATAATAGTTATCTAAATGACAATGTTTCATAAACACACCTCGTAAATTGATGCAACATGTAACTTTTACACGTTAATGGCTGATGCTTTAATATAGTTATGCGTAGTTTATATGTCATGGTTAATTAGACAATGAATGCTTTCAGTTTCAGCTGTCCAAATCTATATATATGGACTTGGCATGGCTCATTAGAAGTTGTTAATTTTGTGACGTCATCTTGCCATGCATGTCTGCATAGCGGTTTCAATTTTCAATTTTTAATTTGGTTATGTTATGAGGTTGCTATTGAATTGAGAATTTGTTTTGATTTGATTAGGTTCTTGTTTTTTATGTTGTCTCAGAGTTTGAGATATGTTAAATTATATTAAATAACAGACAGTTATTTACTTCTTGTGGTTTGAGTTGTTTCTTCGCCACTCATTCACAGCCACAACACGAATATTGCTTTAAAAGAACAAAAATACTTTTCAAATCTTTTCAATTTCGAGAAATAAAATAAAATACTAAATAATAATAAATATCTAGTTGAGTTCATTAAAATATCTAAAACATTTTTGCTTTCAAAAGATTTGTGTAACATTAAACCTTCAACCATTTGTCATTATACGGTTTTCTACAGCTATTCAATCCACAGTCACATTAACTATATAGGTGTCCATTATATATCATTTTTTAAATTTGCAAATGGTTTACATGGTATACCTTTTAACTTAAAGTCCCTACCGACATTAATGCGATGTATTTTACTATTATTTTTCTTGTCTGACAAATGTGAAAAACATGTAGCTACATTTCTACATGTAGATGAACTAAGGTAGCCGCCTCATTCCACAAAAAGACATGATCCGTCTACTGTGTTTGAAATGTAATTCGAGGCCTGCGAAGTTTCGGGTTTACCACTTTACATATGTATCATTTGTACTTCTAATTTAAAGAAAAGTTAACTCAGGTTTATGTCATGTTTATAATAATACACATAATAGTAGACATACTTGCTTGCTATCCTAATTTGTGTTTCATAAACATACATATTTGAATGTCTTTCTGGCAGGTTTCGATGTTACTGAACATATGTTAACCTAATATACAAACGGAATTGTGTTAGTAATGTTGGTCATGTCATCCTACGTGCTTAGTGTTATAGGTAAAACCCAGTGTTTATGGTTTTAAAGTTGAAAGATAATTTTTGAGATCACTAACTTACTTCAAAATTATGACTGACAAATTTGTTGAGTATTATCATTTCGCCGAATTAAAGATCTTGGACATATAGACCTTTATCGGCTATATAGCATTTCTATACTAAAGTGGGTCATATAGAACGTGCGCATTAATCCGTGGGAGCTGTAATTTCTACTAAAACGGCAAAAAGCATTTCCTTGCCCTGATTTCTATAATGGCTTCTTGACAGTGAAACCACTAAATGTTGTTAATGTTGATACTTCTCAAATATATGTAGGGACTCGGGCTCTTTGCTTTCAACTTAAATTGTGCTTTTATCATAGAAGAAGGGGAGTTATGCTTTAATATCTAAGCACAAATGCCAAAGGGAGAGGACCAAAAACTGTAAACTTCAATTATATTAAATGATGTTATTTTGTAATATTAGCTTTTAATCATTCACTACCTAATTTTTCTCATTTTTGATATAATGAAACTATTCTAATGAGGAAGAATTGAAAACATTTTTCGCACGTTGTAGTTTAATTTGTTCTCGTGCTCGTACGTGTAGCTACATACATAAGTATATACAAAAACTTTCTGAGTATTATCTAAAACTCCCTGGTTCTTGTCATGATGAAAGCATTTTAAGTTGCTTTAAAGTTCTATAGTCTATTATCACTCATTCAATAAGTTTGGGTTTGATCACAGACCATGGCGCGCCTACTGAATCTTCTTCACAAGTCAAAAAAACAAAATCTTTTCTTTCATTTGTATAATAAAGATTTATTTTATTGTGATATTAGATGAAATACATGAAAGTGTCTCTTGTAAGAAACAAGCTAGATATTTACAATGAAGAAATGAGAGGTTCAGGACAACACGTGGTACAATCACTTTATAACTTATTATGTATATAATATAATAGCTAGCGTACAACCTATTCACAGTTTCGAATCGTAAAAATACAATTTCAACATAATACAATAAACATTACATTGTAATATTCTAGAGTTGATATTATCAGAAAGACATACATTTAATCAGTCAATAATAAAGACAGTATGCCTGCGTGAAAGCCAGTGAATGTGTAAAATTTCTAGATTAAATCATTATAACAGTATGCTAATAACTTAAAATCAGAACCAGTTTGCAAATCAGCCTTTGATGGATATTCATTTTGACACATCTATCGTGCTAATTCCAAGTTATACATTGAATTAAAATTAATTTAATATGAAGTATCGATTATCATAAACTAGGCTTGTCGTTGTAAGGCTATTGTTGGACAGTTCATCATTTTTAATATACAGTATTATTATTGTAAACGCTTGGACCTGACACACAGTGATATCTATGGCACATAACTCTATTGAAGCATCTATCTATAGCCCCATTTTCCACATAATCTAGTTTGGACACGTAAGTGCGTTACATCTTGAAACGTATGTTACGTTTGTTATTAATTATTATACATGTATTGTGTTTGCTATGCATCATATAATTTTGGGAATGACGTGCAATTTACACACCCTGTGTACGGTTTATTCATTTACTGCATATACATATATTTTTTATGTAAGATGTAACTTAAAGATCTAACCACTTGTTAAATCGTTGAATATTATTATTTCAATTTAAAATTATGACAGTTTGCAGATGCACTGAAGAACAACCATGCAATTTATGGTAACGTTCACAAATACCTAAACAAGATATTTCTCAAATTGCAACTTCAGAATGTTCCGGCTAATGTCTTTCCAGCATCATTAGTCGACCTATTTATGATTATTTCAATGTTTTAGTGTAAGTTTGCTTCTCGACTTTCATATCACGATGACTGATATTTGAATCAGTGCATCATAAAGTCTCAATTTGGCTTGATGGTTTACAGGACGCTCCGACGATCTTCCTGAAGTTTGGCCCAAGTCACCCTTTGTTTTCTTGCCTCAAATTCTATACTTTTATCGTTGTATCTTGTAGGTACGGACTGGAAAATATGAAAAACAATTTATTAATCTATAATTCTAGTTACTGTTTTCTTACGACATAAGAGTGCATAATAGGATCTGGTACATATATGAACAGGTAGGGTTAATCCTATTAGACAGCGAATAATATATAATTTCTTATTTGTGTAATTAATACTGCGATTTGAGCAAGTGGTCGGTTTCCACAACGGTAGGAATACGCTTAATAGCTCAAACATGACTATTATGGGCCAAATATTTACGGAATAAATATTTACTCATTAATGAACTCATTGGTGACTTCTGCAAGTGACAGAAATTATGGAATGATTTCTCAATAAGTTTGTTGTATTGTCTGGCCTAGTCGCCTTTGTTATTTCAATTATTGCTTTCTTGTTATGGATATTGGTACACAATGACTGAAGAGAATAGTTGGAGTACGAATATTTGATACTTTCTAAATGTTTATATTTCACGCGATGTAATTAATGAACCTGGAAGTGAAGTTGCCTTTGGTGAACACCATTACATAGTTTCCAAAGTCAACATTGTTAAAGGATTCGTAAGAATATTCTTGTCTCCTTTATATACCCTGTAGGTAAGCCTATAAGACAAACCTCCCTCAATTGACACGAAATCGAAATATATCGGTTTGTTTTATGAACGCCGGTTTTGTAAATCAATCTGAGGGTTCCTACACAAACAATCCAACTGCAACGCGTCTTCAACACAATGCAAAGGCAAAATAGCTAACGGTAAAGTTACATAGTCCTTTTCGCTGATAAACTCCGGGTCTTTATTCATCAGTGAACTATTGCAAACACAATTGTAAATATCTCGGCAAACATGCCAGAGTTTCGCCTGCAACAGTATGTGAGTGTAAGTAACAATCTGACTTCATGTTGACATGTTGGTTTCTCCGACCCTCTGCCCCTTCATACACGTCATAAAGATCGAGAACGAACAACTTAAGTGTGGGAAAGTGTTACAGCGAATCTTATATTGTGATCGTTTATGTTGAAACCAAGTCGTGATGAAGTGATTTAATTTTGTAATAAACTCTCACCTTCTTGAGACGGGTTGGACTGGTTTAAAGGCTGTTTTGGCTTGGTTTTCCATCAGAGCTTTATTAATATCAGGCTTCAGTTGATCTATGCCCAAACGGGAGTCGCCTGAAAAGTGTATAATGTAGGTGTAAAGCAGAGGCACAACACAACAAATCTCTCAACATAACAATGTACATGTTTAACAAGTTATTAGCAAGATACTAAGGGAAGAACTCTTGTAATTATGATCTGATCGGGAAAACTGCACAAGGAAATCAAAATACATCGAATTGATAATAAACAGTCAATCAATTCTAAGCATGAGGCATGGTTAATTATAGTTCCTATCAAGTTTGTGTCACTGAAGTTTTATTGAATAAGGTACTCTAACTTATGTTTGGATAAAAAATTCGCGGCATATGAAACTTCGATCTTTTGACGTTGTTTGATGATAAAGCAAATATAATTACGTCGGGGTCACTAGTGTTAATTTCCGGAGCCCAATTATTCTGGTATAGTATTCTAAGACTCGTATTAACTTGTCTTTTTATGCGAAACTCTATAGTCACTTGCTAAAGACGATATGAATTCTGATTACTTTTCAGGAAATTTTAAACATCTAATTTTCATGTTAAACATATATTGATTTCTGTGATTCCATTTCCTTGACACCGAGGGGGATCTAACTGTAGTAACAAGATATCAGAGGGACTTGACGTAATTAAACAATATCCCCACTCACCTAAGCCGTTTGGTAGCGGGTTGCCGTAGCCTAGCGACCCTAGTCCCATCAGTCCAGTTCTGCTTCCGGTGGGAGGGGTGCTGGGTGGGGTGTCCACACTGTTTCCATGGTTACCATTTGATGACGCCAGAGAAGTTGATGGGAGTCCCATTGCAGAGGGGTTTGAACTGAATAGATAAGGGTGACTGAAACTAGGGTGTGATGATTGACTACTTTGACTCGTCGTGTATGCCCCGTCGACCCATTGCCGTAAAGAGTTCATTGGGGAATTAAAATGTTCGGCTTTTGGAGGTATTGTGCTTGTACTTAAACTAGGCGAACGCCTACCAGATGAGGGAGTGGTAGAAGTTGCAACGTCCGCCAAAGACCAAATTCTTGGCTTGGGCGCAGAGTCACCATTTGTATTATTTTGTAAGTTTGTAACAGTTGTTGATGCCGTTGATGTTGATAAATCTGGCAGGCGAGAGTCTTTTCTAACATCTTTATCCACGTCACCGCCCAATTTGATTTCGTCATTCAGTTTTGTGTCTTCGTCATCGGAACCTGCAAATACATAATTTAAATATAGGTTAGAAATATAGCAAAGTAAGAACCTTGTAGAAGACAAATTGTTCTGCTATAATTCTCATATTAATCTATATATTAGTCACCAGAAAAGTATTTTTAAAGTAGAATGTCAAACAATAAGAGACGTGTTTCGATTTCTGTCAGGAACGCTTTCGCGGAACATTAATCAGAATCTTGTGAATTTACGTTCCTGTCAAACGGTATGTCAAAAAAGTAAATGTTCAAAACCAGAAACAGGATACCATAAGCTATGATAGCAGAACGTACAAGAGATTTCTGGATAAGACACATTAGTTAAACGCTAGAGAACAAGTCCAACATGCTATTAGGCCACGAAGAGTTATGGGTCTGAGACGTGGAAAAGATTAGCTGTTGTGTTTTGGGTATCTGGTCGTGTAAACTAAGATTAGGAGACCCGTACCACGCGAATTACGTCCTCTCCTGGTGATAATATAAAAAATGACTTTCCAAAAACCACAGGATGTGCTGCCTTGCATCTAGTAAATGAGTGGCGGGAGGGGAGCCAGGTACTCTAAGCATTTTTCTCAGACAATTGTAATTTAAAAGCCAATTCTTTGTTGTGTATTACTCTTAATTAGGACTTTATTCCTTCATAATTAATGTATTTGTTTGACTTTTGTAATTACTAGTAATTTGAAAGAAGCGTAGAAAATTTATAAATATTTCATTAGTGCACATATTAATTATCTGCATATCATATTCCCTGGGTTGAGGAGTAAAACCATAAACATGCACCTCCCTTCTACTCGCTCCTGTTGATGAGGTATAAAAGTTTTCAACAAATAATTCCCACATGGATATGTGCAATGCCAGATGTATTGGAACTATTCCTGTACGGTGCTGCCCTCTATTCATGTTTTAAAATCAATACCCAGGCGCGGAAAGATCAAAGGAAAGAGATACAAAGATGAGTCAAAGATGAACCTCAAAAAGACAGTTCGAAAATGCAAGCATTCGTCCAGGATTACACTGTGTTTATTTTCAGTTGATGAAAGGCAAAAACCCAAACCACAGATTTGATGGAATTATATTTCTAAAAACCTGGAACTGAGCGTCATTCCCACCAAGTCTGATTTTCATTTCTCATTTTCTGTAATTGAAACGTATCAATGCATCAACTGAAGTAACAATATTAAAATGGGCATCGGCGGCAATTTCTTTGACGAGGCAGTTTTTGATGCATTCAGCGCAAAATCAAATAAAATTGTTACATCAAGATAAAGCAAACTCAGATGTGGAACATGATCTTGAGATCCGAACTGAACGGTAACTCGTGTTGTAACTTGGAGAATGATAGCCGAACGGTTAGTTTAGATCTTTCAAATAACTGATGTATCCATTACGGCCATGATCTGGACGTTTCATTAGGAAGATTGCCTGGGATCGATTAGAAGTAGACCCGAAAGAAAGAGATCACTGATTTCCTGAGAGAAGGGGTCATTGTGACGAATGATCCCTGTCACTCAGAAGTGAATTGAAAGTCAAATTTGATTTGTGCTCGGAATTCCTTATATCATCCACATTAAAATCCACAGGCATGATCATTGATTGGAACATTGGATTGGAAATGTGTAAATTAAAATTCTGTTGATTGATCATGATTTGTTTCTTGAAAAATGATTTCAATTGTAATGTATTGATTCATCTATACATATGCTGCTGTCATCGTCATTTCATGTGCGGTGAGGTGGTCATATCCCCGATCTGACGAACATTATTAGGTTTTATTGCCTATAATTTTAATTAGTTTAAACCACCAGACTCTCAAAATAATTACATTGTATGGAAATAACGTGATATGAAAATGGGATAATCACCGGCTCGGAATTTATAACCTACTGTTAATCTAATAATGATAACGATGATGATAATCATTTTGATATAATCACTACTAATTATTTCATTAATTTATTAAACCAGTAGCCGTGACGAAATCTCTGGTGTTTTGGAAACATCGTGCTTGGCCGGATACCGTTCCGTAACACAACACTACAGACGCGCGCACTTTGAAGAAATATGAATTTGGGATCAGCTTTGTTCTTGCTTTGTAAAACAAATGACAATTAACTCATTTGAAGTAGAAGTGAATAATATATTGTAGACTTTCTAGAGTTTAATTAAATGACTGTTCTGGAGCTCATTGTGAGTCAATTGGCATTACAGAGATATCAAGAGTCATTCACAACAAATCGAAAGTCCTCTAGCTTAATAACGTTCATCTCGATGGTGAAGTCTGACACGTAACAAAGGGATGCTTGACAGATTGCATTTCTTGTGGGCGATAATAGGTAACATCGTGGAATGGGATGGTTTGCATTCCAAAATAGTATGTTTAAAATATGTTAAATCTGAAGCAATGTATACAGAACGCTAGACTTTGACGGTGTACGTTAGGTAGGATTAAATTATATGTATACAAAATATTACATGGAACAAATATATACTTGATTTTTTCTCCTTAAGGAATATTGAGGGTGGAGACATTGTCGTGTATACTCTTGGAATTAAAGCATTTTAACACCCCTATCACCCACTTTAAATTCCTAAAGTTTAATGTTGTTCGGCGAAAAATAAATTTACAAATCAGGAGAAAATGGGATAACGTAGAGATTACCACTGAAGAGGCTGTGCTTAGCTCTAATCGGAGGTTAATTCGTTTGATTTTGGGTCTCTTAAACCATACACATATTAGCAATATAAATTAAGTAGAAATTAAGCTGACTATGCCGGCACTTGTCACTAAGCTGTGGACAGTCCACGTATCCAGGTTTTTACACATGCGCTAAAGAAAATAATCACCTCTTGGTAAGTTGTGTTCTTGTTTTAGAACACTTTATCGAGTGACACATTTGAATGAGTTTGAAGTATAAACATTTTGTTTGCCCAGGAACAACATTGATTCACAGAAAATACACGTATAAACTTTTGACTTATCTAAAAATAATTGTTCAATTGCAGAACTGAGTGGTATCTTACAGCCCACTAACCACATAATGTGAGCCCTGTAGAACATAACAACCAAAAAGCAGCTCCTACTAAGTGCGAGAAACAAATAAGTCACACCATAAGACCAGCGCACATTGAACATATGGTCGACAAAATTTTAGAGTTTACATTGAGACATCATGCATTATTAACTACAACCTTATGCATATCAACCCAGGCTCGATTCTCATGAAATTCCAATTTGTACATTAGTTTTGGTAATGAAACAAATTATTCATACGCAAATTAAACTAGCTGGTACGACATACAATTGAAATGTTTTTAACATTAACCTATTTCTTGTGATTGTATATATGTGTAGTGTTATTTACTTCACATTATCCGGTGTTTAATTAGTAATACACTAATCTGAATAAATTAAGAGTGAGTGGAGGTTTGACTATCATCTGCCAGCTTATCTAAAGGCATTTGATAGACCAAAATTGTCAAACATTTTAAAATAGAAATTTCTGGGCGATCATTAATCATTGGTAGTTGACCACTGTGTGTCCAGAGAGACTGAGATAAACGCGATCCAGTATCAGTTAAGGGAGCTAAAGTTTGTCTTGGCTTTGATAAGGGACCAAGCAAGGAGGTCCATATTACTTTCCCCTACAAGAATAGCAGAATCTTCAAATATTAGCTTCATAGAATATTGTACACTAAAAAAAAGTAAAATGAAAATGTATTAACGGAAAAACAGGGGTAAAATTGAATGTATTTAAGGAATCCCTACTGCATGCAATTCAATGGAAAATGATTGTACAATGGGTTTAGGCTTATTCAATGTCCTAGGAAGGGCAGCGATGCACTATTAACCTTTATTTAAGTTATCGAAGATGGAACATCGAGTCACATTCAATGAAGAAATGAAGTTGAGATAAGAAGATATGTTTGTGTAAAAATTGAGATAATGTCAACTATCGAGTCTGAAAGTCATCGTTAGATATCCAAACATATGTCTAGAGTTTACATTTAGTGATTTAACATTGAGCTCTTAAACAAATGACTTTCAAGCGTCTATTATAGGTTGAGCATGTTATGCCAACATTTTGACCAACAGAAGAGCTTTGCAAATTCAATTTTAAATTATGAATCAAGAAATTGATAATGTGTTCTGAATGTCTGTGCTTTTACAAGAAAATGATAATACTCAACCAATTTATGTAGTCATGTTATATCATAGTCAATTTAACATAATTATCTTTCAATCTTACAACCATTTTAACATAAGTTTTACAAGTAAATATTTAGATATAAATTTACATTACATTACATGTACACTGCAAATTTTCAACAATGTTATATCTAAGGAACTATTCGGTTTTAGGCCTGAATGGGTCTCAGAAAAGCAAGCCTTTGATGTAAAGTACTATGGATGATTGATCCGATCCTAAGAGTCTCTTGAAATGCCGTGTAGTACCAACATTTCATCACTAGAGATTTCAACTTATTCCAAGTGCATTTTGTCCAATTTGCGGTAAGTAACAGGTATATCAAGTCGTAACTTAGTAACTAACTTACAGTCTGTGTCTGTGATATTTAGAGGTAGTAGATTATCTTACTGTCTAAAAACCATCATTTCTGACATAAAACCTTCTAGAATGAAGAAACGCATAACAATGCGAGTGATGAAAGTGAAATTCACAAGGTGTGAATGACGTTATGGAACACCATCCTGTGACCACCCTTGATCAATCTGCTCGGAGTGGTACTGAGGTAGGACTGAGAGCGTTTGGACATAGAATTACAACATTTTTGGTCATTATGACATTTATCGAAGTTTATGCTCATCATTCTATTATCGCCCATTTTTCCAAATTTGAAAGACTGACAGTGAAATTTATGAGATGAGTGTCTCATTTATACACGGTTTGCCAATTATTTTTCCCCTGTTGTTCTGCTAGGTTGTACACACCATTCATTGCATTGGATGAGAGCTGATGACATGTCAAGATTCCTCTAAAGACCTGCTATAGGCAATTCGCAGACGACATCTCATCAATTTTCCCGCCATTGAATAAAATATTAGCAGACGACCCAAAGCAAGATTAACAAGCTAAATCAAGTGTTAATAGCTTGAGACAAAAATGATAAACGATGTAAAGGTACTGCGCTGAACAGTAATTTTTCAGAACATCTTAGGAGAACTATTTTTCAGTCAATGTCCACACCATAAACCAATATGTCCAGATTGAGAAATATGGTAGTCGACTCTTGGTGATATGGTGAAGACATCATGGTCACGTGAAAGTATTGACAAACAAATGGGCAATTATCATTAATTTGAACATTTTACCATTTTCCGAATATCTTGGCTCGGTTCCCCATGATACCACCAAGTAACATTTAAGTTCAATGCCGGACCACCATTTTCCATGATTATTTCTACATCCAACAGCCATACACAAAAAAGCCCAGTGAAGAACGGCTGTGCATTGAAATAGGAATACGGATATAAATGCGCTTCTCCTCTTCCGAGCTATTTGTAGTGTTTGACTGGTGATATACCAAACAGCTGGGAGATTGCTTACAGAACTATTGCAAGTGATAGCCTCAGTTGACGTATCATAATTATTATTTTGTTTGTGAAATATTACGAACTGGAGTGAAGGTTAAAAATTGCTCTAGCTCGGGGACTCTGATGATCAGTTTATGATTGGACCCCACCTCCCGATAGTAATTTTCAATAGACACCCATAGCGTGCTCTAATAAAACCAATATGCTCTGCCCCGGGGCCGGACACTTAAAACTGATCTTTTTACATCTGTGAATTTCAACTGACTCGAATTCGTGTTTTTTCTTTCAAGAAACCACAAGGTATGTTTTACTTAAAGAATCGGGCGCCTTCTGCGATGATGAAACGGCAAAATAGAACAACAATAAAATGAAGTGATTATTTAATTGAAGTATTGAAAGGATTTAAGATGCGAATAGGATGGCAATTCATTATGCCTAAGTGGATAAAACAAAGCACATCGATGCCTTTATGACCACTTCAGTTAAAATGTTTCCTGATTTCTGGAAAATTGGCATTATCAATAATGATGAGGAGGGATTGTTTTGACTTGCTGTAATTAAATTAAGGGTGAGATGCTACTTCACAAAATAAACAATATAAAGCATAAAGTAAATATATGGCTTTACGACTAGTTCAAGCATTTGTAATGGATACATTACTTATTTTTTATATTACATTCAATTTATTGGAATGTACCTTTTATCTGGTCCATAATTAAAACTATGTTTTTTGCGATAATAGATACCAGAAAAGGGGATCACAAATTGCCCATTACATGGGGTAATATTGTGTTTTCTAAAAAGGTGAATCTCATATATTTCAGGAATTAAAAGGGAATCTAATTAAAGTCACAGAAATAAATTTATAATTGGCATTCATGACTTAGCAAAATAAACGTAAATTCAACTGAATGTGCATTAAACGTCACTTTTGGGAGGTTATGGGCCAATGCTTTGTATCCTAAAAGGGAATCCTATTTTGGAGTGGTTTATGTACATATTATGAGGCTACATGGTGTAAAATACCACGCTAAAAGTCTCCTAAACAAAAAAACATAGTGACAACTGCAAAGAACAAATTCTTAACATAATTTATTTAAATATTATTAACTATTGTGTATGCATTTTCTCAACAACCCTAGTCTAAAGAACGGATCCAAATGCCAACTGTAAAGACATGCTTTCACAAATTAATCTTTGAATTATTTGTGTATATTTTCTATACATATCTTGTCTTCAAGAAAGTCCGGGAGCTCGTTTCAATTACAGTCAGACATGACTAAGTGTTACAAAATGCCGTAGACAAGCTTTTGCAACCCCCGGGACAAAAATGTCAAAATTAGCAAAAACAAATCTGTCTGTATTTAGCAGTCCGTCTAAGATAGCATACCAATACAAGTAATGCACTTATAACTTATTCTAGCGTTCCTCGAGACATGATGGACATCTCTAGTATTTCAAGCACTTAATTCCAGCGAAACAGCTACTTAGCAAATATTTTCCATATTTCCAAAAGCGTCATTATTAGATAAGGTCTTAGTTGGATTTTGCTCAGCTGTGAAATCAACTGAACTATTGTGAAGCAGTTTCAACAAAAAGTTATACCAAGTATATTATCTATTGAACAATAAAAAACATTTGAACTAAAACTGTGATATAACACCTTATCACATATTCCATCAATGTAAACACACTGAGAAGGTCGTATAACAATATTTCCCATGTAAAAATGGTGATTATTATAGTCTTAATACATGATATGATCTATCCTTTAGGGTGTCAACATTTTAGAGGATACAGTTATAGCAAAGATAAGGAATTCTATTCCTCATCATAATGATAACATACGAGTATGGGCGACCATATTGTACCTAATTTAATAATTGTTATAAATAAATGTTAATTAAGTTATCTTGCGTTAACTTACGAATTATTTCATAACTGATGATGTTCAATTATCAACGACTGAAACTTATGATTAAATAATATGGTTTGTTTTGAGTGAATTTACATGTTGTTCTAAACCTTTAGGGCCTAAACAAGTACAAGTATAGGTGATTATGTGATATGACTGGTGTAAAACTTTAACAGATATCAACTTAGCATACCTTATGTTTTGAGGACCACTAGAAGTAAAGATGTGTTGATGAAGTGTCCTTAGTATCTTACCGCTAGACTTTTGCAAAGCGTTTGACAGACAATCTAAGTATGAGGTGATGTGACGTAACACGCTGGAGTAGGTCAATGGGGTTCTATATGCCCCACTTTTTAAAAAAAATTATTAGCACAAATTATTTCATTTTTATTCAATTATGAATTCTTTCTCGATGGGCGTTTCCTAAACGTGCCCATGCACTTTATTTCTTAAATTGTATTTGTGATGTCCAGAATTGATAAACGCTCATGATTGTTGCGAACTCTCTACCTATGTTCATATTTTAGAAAACTAAAATCAAGCATGAACTTTCTCTATTTTCATTTGACATTTATACTGATAAATCGTTTTTGAATCACATTGGTTTTGCACAAAATAACTTATTTTGGGACATGAAAAGAATTTAATATCTTGTTTCCAATAAGAGACAAGTTTTTAAGGATGTGGGGCGTAGGATGGAATTAACAAAACGCCAACTTTGGTGTCCATTTCAGGAAGCTATAGTAACATAAAGAAACAGATAACCGCACAAATAAAGACAAGAATGTGTTCAACTAATTTAAATCAAATTGTTGCTCGTTATAAAAATGATTTATGAATTAAAACCAAGACAATTTGAAGGTCAAAACAAGTATGAACTAATTTAATCTAAAAATGCATGTGACAGGACTGAGTTACTGGCAGACAGAGGTAAAAGTCACTCAGATGATTTGAGAGATAAAATTGATAACTAAGATAAAAATCGCAATCCAAGCGGTGCATATGACTTATAATAAGTTAATAAATGAAACTAAATTAGGACAATTTTATGTTCTATATTTGCTATCGTGGGCGCCTTGGTATCCGTGTTTCGCAGTTTTAATAGAGTCACCCTTGCCTATCCTTCTGGTAAAAAATCTAGGTTTATCCTGGTCTCCATTTCCGCTTGGGATGATTTTGTGATTTTATAATGAGAAGTGAAATTATACCTCTTGTCCATGCCTCTTGTCTACCCATTATAAAAACAGAGTTAAGACTGATCATTATCCCTGACATATTATAGGGTATAAGTCATTTCAAATGTACCTGTTTATTATGTGATTTGTTCAGTCAAAGGACTAATGAAGGCTTATAACAGATAGACGTTCGTGGTCATCGAAAGTCATGTAACTTTAAGATGATAATTTGATACGTGTACACGCTTGGTTAAAACCATATAACGCTGAGTTTTCCAGGCGCCGATGTAAAGATTGGTGACAGCACAATACTTGATAATGATACATTAGATACTGATTCGAAGGATAAATATGATGGTATTCAGCCAGAACATAACCAAGTTAATTACCTAAGTCGATCCGCATATAATCACTCTTTTAACAAGCAAAATCACGCCGAGTTTAAATAAAATAATATGTTTGGGGATTGTATCCAAAAACTAACATCATCGACACAGTATGATAGTGAAATAATATGTTTTACGCATTGTTAGAGATCAGGTGCCAGCCTGGGCACATGTAGATGGGGAACATACCTCCCATGGTCCAATTCTGACCCCATGGCAGTTTCAGGTGACTCCTGACAACATATCCTCAATTTGAATTTTTATTTGATTTTGAAGTGGGCAACCACCAACTGGCCATTTCCAGCTAATGACATCTTGTTTAAAATATATGTGTTGAAGTAGGTAGTCAGTTGGACGTAATTGTACCATTTTATTTACTAAAATACACTGATTGAACACAGGTGCAGATCCGAATATTTGTTGAAATTATCAGATGTATTCGTAACTGTACATACCTGCGTTGTTATTGTCATCCTTAGCATCGTCCATATCATCATCGTCATCATCACTATCCTTGTCTCTTCCGTCACCACATCTGTTTCTAGGCGACCACGTCATTTTGTTTTCCTTTTTCAAGCGTCTCCTAGCGTTTGCGAACCAAGTGCTCACTTGTGTCAGAGTCATTTTTGTTATTATCGCTAACATGATTTTTTCTCCTTTTGTTGGGTATGGATTTTTTCTGTGTTCATAGAGCCAAGCTTTGAGAGTACTGGTTGTTTCCCTTGTGGCATTCTTGCGTCTTGCCCCTGCGTTCAAGTCCATGCCACCATAACTGGAAATATAAAAGTGATAGCTTAAAGAAAGTGAATTGAAGCTGAAAATGGCGCATCTATATTAACTTGGGTATAGCAACCATTAATATTTATCATTTATTTTTTAATTTGGATTTTATGTGATAGATATAATCATCAAAATATTTAAATAAAGTCAATAATTTTGTAATTCATTCCATAAAGTTGGACTATTGGAGATAACCACATTGGAAAAACTCGTACATCTACATTCTGACATTTGAATAACTAAATATATAGCAATGACAGTCCGATGATCTTAAATTGCACAACACAATCACATTTCTAACATCTCTAATATCAGGATTGACAAGTTTATTAGTTAAACTGTTTATTAACGTATTTGACTTCTCAATAGAAAGTTAATTTATAGGTAGAGTTAAATGCATAAACTTTGTAAAAAGACTGAAATTATTTATTGATAACTATAACAATTGCTATTAGGTGACAATAGACTGACTTTAATACTTGTGGTTACCTTTATAAAATGTTCATAAAAATTGTTAATAAATATTATCAAATAAGAATTTCACTTGGTTAACATCAACCAGATGTTTGTACACCTTTAACATTTATTTATTACGTTATGTTATTTTTAATGACGCTTGGATACTTATTACTTAATGATACATACACTTGAGTAGACATTAGGACCGACTTTTAATTGTTTAAGAAAAAATTAGGCTGCACTTTCACGAACAGTTCAGCAATATGAGATTTAATATTTATAAATCATCTCCTGGTGTCTTCGCTAACAATGCTATGTTGAAAAATTGTTTTTGAAATGAAGTTAATATTCGCGTTGTTAACAAAGTTGAATTTAACTTTACATTTTGTATTCTCAACACTCCGTTCAAAGAGGGCAACGTCGGGCACTGGTAAAAAATGAGTTTAACTTAAAAACAAGACAGGCGTTTGAAATTTATGTGAATCTTGGTTCAAATTTTAAAAATAAGTTTTCATTGAGTCAAATAGTCAAATAAACATTGTAAAATGTATTTTTCACAATATCAGCACCTATGAGAAACGGAGTATTAGTTTATTCTAAAATAAAATATCATGTCGAGAAAATGTAACAAATCAGTCCAGTGACACGGCGTTGTGACATAAACTTGAGATTTGAAACCAAATTTACATCAGTTTTTATCAAATATTTATTTGACATTAGAAAAAAGTGAAAGAAATATAATTTGATATTGTTAGTTAAACTAACAGGGTATAGATGGCGCTTTAGATAGTCTAAATCGATAATTCGTTCAAGTCAATATTTCAAAAAATATTCTATCTGCTAAAAAATCCTGAAATTAATCATAAACAACATAAATTATATTTAAATATATTAATCTAAATTATCTGATTTAAAAATTATTGGTCAGTCTTACCTATTTCCATATGGGTAGCCAGCCATGCCCGTTGGGTCATAAGGGTAGCCGGCCATGGGTTGGGACAGCGACCTCCAGGCATCCGCTGTAGCACTTGCAGATCCATCCTTTAAATCGTAACCATTCTGAAGAAAACAAAATAAAACCCTAACGTTAACAGTGGTGTAAGATAAAGTACAAATTTATTGATTATTCTTGACTAGAACAGGATGAGTAAGAAGATCAGTTGGCCTCCGTTCCAAAGTTGACATTGTGCTATAAATAAGATCAAGAACTACAAATAGATTAAGTAATTGTTGATTATGCTGTTGTGTCTAGTGTGAATGATATTGAACTGATAGAATACGTATAGGATCGAATGTTGGTCCACCTAAAAGTAAAACCGATAAAAATTTGTAACTTCTGACAAATTTTTCAAATATGTCACCGATTTGTCAAAATGTCTTCCGATCATCATAATTTACTTGAGCCTTACCAAAATAATTTGCGAACGGTGCATTCGAAAAACATAAAAACGTCAGTGGAAAATTAATTAAGAATACCCTTGGTTAGTTTTGGAAGAAATACGTTGGGAAGAAGAAATGGGAGCGATTGGATTACAAGAAACTCACGAGGGAAGCCATTCGATTTGCTAACAAATTGAAAATCTGTAGAAAACCTGGATAGCAAGGGGAGAAAGTGATGGGGCCTAAATTGGTTCTGGTAGAAGCGTTCTGGATGAATGAAGCTGGGACTAATTACATATATCCCAGGTACCAAACCACCTACTTATCTTGTTAATGGAATTGTAATACATGAAATTAACATGGTATGCACAAGCCAAGATTCATAACTCCGAATGTGATTCATTAATTTTACATCCCACTAAAATGCTACCTCAGCCAAACCAAAACCAACGGAAAGCCTATAACTAAACTTTGTTACCCCTCCAGCAGGTAGAAATAATGCAAGTAAAAATGTTTACACAGAGGATCTAGGGGCAGTTTTCAACACCCACAGCGTATGCTACTAAGAAGCAAACAACTCTGGATTGTGATATAAAACATTCTCACTTTCATTCCATCTAACCCAAACATATGAAGATAGCATCAAAAGGCATCAATGTTCAAGTACTTGGACTCACACACCAGAAACAAATCACTTTAAGAAGCTTCTTAGCGCTTTTCGTATTGTTTGCAAGTCTGTTTTTGACACGGGATACCAAGGCAGCTAAGTACGTAAAAGAATGGATAGCTCTGTCAATCTTGTTAATTCCAAAACAAAACCCGTTCGTGTATCTGATACACTAGTGCTGGTTTTGGGCTGCTTTTTATCAGTTGTGTATAAAATTGTGAAGTTCTCTACTTCTGTTTTATCAAAATTATCGGGTTTTATAATAATAATAAGTTATTATTCAACTTTTGGTAAAGTAGTCTACATTATTCTTTGTTGAAATCTATGCTGTAATAAAACAGCATCGGTAATTTATTCAGCTACATTAGAACTTGAATAACTTAAAATAGCAATGGCAAAAGTTAATCATGCGGAAAAGAGAAGCACTTTAATATATTAGTGTTTATTGGAATAAACAATTGTTTTACCAATTTAATTTAAATCATCTTTGGTAAAATACAAGAAAAACGTTTTATAGAGAGGGAAATATGCAAGTATTGCGCAGAATTGTGCGCAATGCAAGTCCCGGTGCCATACTATATAAGAATTATCTTTACCACAGTCATGATCAGATAATCAGTTTTATTAATAAAATATCTAGATATTTGCATATAGTTCTAATTAAGATTAACAGAATCAGGTATTCTTTACACCTGCCCGAGTGCTTCCAATCCTGTATCATTTTATATACGATTTTAATGGCAGAGAATCAATTTTTGTGGTCAGTTGAAATCGATTAATTGTCCATTTATTTCTCAGTTTTTGAGTCATTTATTTTCTACTTATTCCTGGGTGCTGTGTGTGGTAAATATAATACACGCTGATACATTAACCTTAAATGCTATTATTTTCTTTAGGTTTTTAATAGCTGGACATTAGCGTTCTCATCATGACCTTTTCGTATTTTATTCCAAAACTCTTGCTAGACTTGTATTTTGGTTAAAAATTAATGATGCCTTTAATGTCTTATCTATTGTTGGAAAAGACCCATGTAGAATAAAAGTCATTTTAATGTTGATCGCCATTCAATAGTTGAGTCTAGATTTTTTATTTTCTGGGAAGCGTTTGAAATCTTCGAGTATGTTACAGACGTTCAATATTGATTATTTAAATTTATTTAACTAGTTTTTAGATGTTATTTAAACCGATTTAGTAATGAATATTATCGATGTATGTATTTAAATCAAGTGAATATCAGACTGTTCAATTAAGAACATTGCTTTTAGAAAATAAACACTTACCAATGGTGAGTAAAAGGCGGAAGGATCCGCACCAAATGGCATGTATCCCTGGGCAGCAATTGCGGATGAATACACAGATGTATCCCCTAGTGAAATACGAGGGTAGCTCAATAAACTTGGGTTATATTGGCATGAGCAAATTGTCTGTCCGGTGTGGGGGTCGGTCATTATTGGACGCCCCGATTCGCAACATGATGTGGTAGGGGCTGATGATGAGCTGAGGGTAGATCCAGAAACTGTTGTGCTCAAAGTACTCACGGTTGGCATCAATAACTGGAAAATAAAACACATAAATATTATCATTTTGCATTAGAAAATCTACAATACAATTTCTACATCTATCGGACTCTCCCGTGAGATGATTATCATTTATCATAATTATTTAATATTCAATCCTCTACTATTGAAGGAGCGTTTGAAAGTTGTATTCAAAGGACTAGAAGTAATGTGTGAATTGTATGATTATTTAACAAGGAAAGTGACAGAAAATTGATCAATTGTTATAGGAGCAGTAATAACGTTTCTGCTGTAGAAAGACGATTGGATTATTTGATGGTGGATAAACAGTAATAAGTCAGCCGGACTGAAAGATTCTAAAGAATCGTAGAAGAAAACAACAAGATATAATAACGATTCTCACATTGATAATGATTTATTGTGATTTAGATGACTGATTTTACACTTTTATTTTAGAAAATATCAATTACCTCGTTATCATCGGAAAATATGTTCTCATGTGTGTTTTTGTACGATCGCTAGCGCAAAGTTTTTTAGCATCGATTTTTGATGTTCTTTTTACATTTGTTTTTGACTATTCATTTTAGGCCTGATTTATATAGGAAATGAAAGATAAATTGTTGTTTTTAAGCTATCTAAAGTGGTGAAGATTGCCGTGGATTGCGATGAGATATTTACAACAGTATTAGACCTACATTACTTCAACCGATTAACTGCATGGATAAGATTCAATGTTTTAACTACCCCACTTTCTCTCATCGTTGTAATGATACGTCTCACATGAACCTCAGGGGGCAAAACTACTAGTTTAGCGTACCCCCAAATTATCTTAACTTTCCAAAGTATTTAAACTTACGCTTCGATAACCCTAAACTACCCACTCAACATATAAAAACAACTTTAAAAAATGATAAATGTTCAAAAAATCTCCGATTTTAAAAATAAAAAATAAACCATAGGAATCTATTTGATGACCCGGCTGAGACTTGTATGATATACTAACCTGAGAAGAAGCGGCAGTTAGGGCTGAAGCTGCGGAAGGATAGCTATAACCAAATTGCGGATAAGTCGACATTCTGAATGTCTCGTGTATCCGTTATCTCCAAAAGTTGCACTGCTTTAATCCTAGGTAAAGTTATATAACTTAATGTTGTTAAGTTGTAGTCTTTATGTCAGTTGAGTCCAAGTTGTTCCCATGTATGACAATATGTAAACCAGTCACTGTGAGATGTGTTCACTTGTCCGGTTCTGTGTTAATACAAAACTCGAGTGAAGTCACCAATGTCTTCTGCAGGTTTGACTCTTGTTTTTGAAAAGTCGTATTTAAAAGCGAGACGTTCCCTGCTTGTTGTACGTGTACATACTCCAATGCATGTGGTACCGTGACTCTCTTGGCTGGTGCTTCTTCTATGCTTGAACCATCCACTTGATTCCCCAACTTTGCTTTCTTCAAATAGTAATCTCGGGATTTTGATTGGTTAGAAAACGATCAATGATCTTGCTTGTTTAACGTGTTAACACCGAGTTTACACTGGGAACTTGGAGTGAACAGCGAGCTATCATCGTAAGCTCCGCCTTTTATCAAGTGATTGACAGATACTGACACCTCCCCTAGGCATAGTTTAAGTTTTCGTGTCAAGTTAAAGAATATAAATGATGTGTCTGTTGAAGTCATGTTGAACAATAGAGGTGATTATTAGGAAGCTATAATACTAGCCACTACTGTCTATTCCATGCTGTTATGCGACACAGCTTTACAGTTATTCAATTGGTGCCGAAACTGAGGGAGCAGCGTTCTAAATTCAACTACATAATCACTGGTTACGTTACATCGGGAACGCGCAATTCGGATATTCAAAATTTCGGCTGTAATATCATAACAATATTGCGGATATCTTACTAAGAGAGATCTTCAATATTTTTGGTATCAGAGTCATACACATATGGTAGCAAGACGTCCATGGCGTGCTTTTCCTGTACAACACAATCCCCTCAAAGGATAACAGCGTGGTCAAGTTACTTATATCAACATATCTCAAAAAGAAACTTTAAATCTTTTAAATTTAATTTGTAATAAATTTACTATTTTTGGTATAATATGCCTCTAATAATTGGATATTTCGATTAAACGTTGTTGCATTTTCCATAATATGGTCTAGTTATTTTGTATTCGGCAAGGTCGGAGTCTACCTGAGCAGCATGTTAGCCGCGATATTGGCAGAAGAATGACTTCAAAGTGTGCTGTGTTTAGCTTTTTAACTAAACTAGCATGGTGTCTTGTCTACTGCAAAGCAAGCTATGGACTTGACATATATTATTATCATAGATTTTCAAAATTCATGACATATATTAAATAGCTAGTGATTATGATTTGATTTGGCCGCTGTTCCGATATTGTAGTTTAGTTAGCGTCGCTGTGAATAGGGATCGCTATCATCAATTGCCGAACTGTAAGCCTTCATTGTTTTAATTTGCTGCTCATCAAATACAAATAGTCACCAACGTATAACTTTTTTATTTAATGAGATTGCAAGATTTCACTCTTGAGACAATTTGATTTGTACTTATATTTAAATTGCAATACCTGACAGTATAAAATCTTGGCTAGTTTGTGTGGCGGTAGATTCCGTCCAAGTCATGTGGAGTAATAAGCAGTGTTGCTGCTTCTTGTCTCGAACCCGCAGAGCGTTGTTTTACTCTGATGATATAGGTAATTAAGTTAAATTAGTGTGCAAACTAACTGTATCTTTTGCAGCATAACATCAAATACCACAGTGAAATACATCTACCGGTGCATTCAGCTGTTTGGAAACTCTGCAATACTTTGTCAGATCTTTGGGGAAAATCCAAGGAAAAATAAACACAGTCACATCCTTAATGTTCCTGTTGTTAGTTCAATGTATACATCTCAACATGCACACTGCACATCTGTGAATATATTAACAAAAGGACATGGGAGCAACACAAATGCACATATTTGAAATGATATGCTTTAAAATATCTATCAAGTATGTTAGCTTGATGATTTCTGACTGACTCTTTTCCCCTTTTCCTTTGTATGATTTCAGAAATCTTGCTTATTTTCTAATATGCACGACACATCTCAAAATTAATTGTTTTGGAAAGTGTTAATCTTTCGAATTTAACAACCCAATTTGATAATCAAAATTATTCATGTTTTCAATGAATGACTAGTGTCATTCATTGTTCTGATCCATGCTGCATAACCACAGTGGTAATCCATTCAACTACATTAGATCGTGGACAAAATGTGTGCATTAAAGCGACGTCAATCAAGTGAAAATTAATAGTATGTATTAATGGGGTGTCACATCATACTTATATATGAACATTTTACCCTAGAATTTGTTCAATGATAACATTAAGATCTTATATGTTTTGTCCGGTGTAAAGATTGATGAGAAAACAAACTTGTTTATTTCGGTGTGTTTTGTTAATCCTATTTCAGATCAAAGTTCAACAGTTTCTGTGTTTCTAAACTTCATCTTGTCTCTGGTATATCTCAAAATGCATGATGTCATAATTACCTCACACTTTGTAACAGTTCAGCTGAAATACTAGATGTTACTATGGTAAATGCGTTTGTTGACATTTTTATAATAGGAGAGATGACACAACAACAATACAAAGCGCTGATATACCAAAACCACAATTTCTCACCTCCAGTGATAAAAATGATTTGTATGAAGACTTTATTACTATAGATGCTACTTTGAAATGTAGCAGTCCGGAAGGAGCGTTGCTCAAGTGGCAGTATGCAGCCAGATTAATATACTAATTTACCATTTTATTAACGACACTTCGAAAATACAATAAGGGGAAAGTGAAATGAAAATTAAATGATTGAAATGTTTGACTGGTAATCCACAATAAAACAACTCGAATACCTATTAAGGTAACCATTAATGGCCACTGCTGTCATTAATGGTATGAACAATATCTTTGGGTAATTAAGCGTTATAAATGAACCTGTGATTGACTTTAGGGGCAGGCAAAGCCGTTCAGCTTTGTTGAAAGGCAAAATGAAAAATTGCCCAAATCTAAGGAGGGAATAGAGCCTGTGATAAAGCAGAAAACAATTTCGCTGGAAGACGAAGATTATCGCCGTTCAACCACTCAACTGTTGACAAACATGAAACACGTAATAGACTATTCTATTAGATAGTATTGTACACCAAAGAACAGACATTTTATTAATGAAATGGCATGGTATGATCTGCCATGTTACACGTGCACTTTATACCGCATTCATAGATCAGTGATATCCAAATCTTGGAATTAGTTCCGTATACACGCCAGAAACAGCATACAAATCTGTATAATACATAGGATAGACTGGAACATTGCTAGTGTTTTCTTGTGTGTACAAGCAGAACTGAATTATTACAAAGAAAATAATTGTATCATGTTTATAAGTGTTACCGATAACACAATAGGCAACATTTGGAAAATGCAAAGAAATACAGCAAATTGATTTAATTGTGAAGAATTAATTCATCTTTAGAAAGTACAAGGTGCAGTGTTTGTGGTTAATGCATTAAATCATTACATTACAACATTCAAACAACGTTATTTAATGGGATACAACTTTCCCTCCCCTGGATAAAATAAAGCGTGTCACGGGCAGCGTTGAGTCAAATCTTAATGGTACAGGAAATTTCGACTATTTGCCATGCCATTTTCATTGAAAACATTCTTAAGAAATTTCTGCGAGTCTAACAATTTTGAGGTGTTGTTACAGTAAACAGTACCAGGTAAACACGCTATGGGTCTTGTTAGTGATTTCTAACTCGCTTTAGGCATATGTTGCTACAACCCGGCTGTTGACACCTTCATGGCCGTAATATTACATCTATGATTAACGTCCTATAGCTACGATGGGGGCAGAAGGTTAATGGATTCCTGTGAGGGCCCCTTGGTGATTTTTAGTTATGGCGTTGGAATTTGACAGACAGTCCCCAAGCCTAACCCCGTTGTTGTACCTCACTCTTGTTAATGACGGGTTACTACCATAGAAAATATGTTCGCAAATCAAATCTAATCATAACGTCCCTTTGTTCATGTGGTACGTCCATGTTATAAAATGTCACCAAAAATGTCTAGAATTAAATGTTACGAGCCGTTCGTACATTTCATTGAATATTCGCAGACGATTTCAGAAACAACATGACAAATCCATTACAAACTAAAAATGATGCAGACGATAATAAAATGGTGGTTTTGAATGAAACCTGCAGACGAGATACTTGACTTGAATAAAATTGGAAGAAAGCAGACGAGATTTGTGATTTGTTATCGTTCATCGCTTTATCATTTGGTTAGGGTTCTATTAATACAATGAGGTCAGAAAATATGTGTTTGGCTTAAATTCAAAGTATGTTTCCCCGTGTAAAACACAACATTAGCATGCCATGATCAGTGTTCTTTGACCCTAGACTTGAAATCCCAAAAGATTTAATGAAGCTGAAGTTATGTCTATTAGTCCTTATTCTTACAAAACATAGTAAAATGAATCTAAATTGAAAAAAACTATTCTAATGCATCCTTTAAACCTAGAGATTTTATCGAGCATAATAATCATCATTTTGATGACACTGACGTCTTAGATTGGGTTTAAACTAGAAATGAGATCGAAATGGGTCCTTTGCGACATTTTGATCACAATCAACGGTTTTTAAAAATACTAAATATGAACGGTAGATATCATCAACAAGGTCACCAGGTGATGGTGTGCATTTAAACAAAAAGATGCACAGCAAAGGTTTGACCATCACAATGACATGATCTACGCTAATGGTCGGAGAGAAACTACTAAATAGTGGCGTGTTTCACATCTTGACATCTTTATTAGAGCTATATCCTTTAAGAGGTGAAATAAAACGAATCAGAAATTAACCTGAAATACTTCAAATGCCAATAAAAATGATAATTTGAAAAAGTCAAATTATTTGAACTCTCAAAACCAAACTCTAATTAAAATGTTATAATTTCGCTCATGAGTGTGACCAATGGACAGCAGCTATAATTAGTGCGTTTGTCCGTAAACTTAACAATAGACCCAAAATGATCTTCCAGCACACCCAAGATACCATCCTTAAACCAAAACACCGCATTGTGGTAAATGTGTACCTAAACACAGGGACAACATTATTTCATCAACCTACTGTCCATTCCTTTTAAAACGCTCATTAATTAAAACAAAGACATGTCCTATCAGTTGAGGTCATTTTCGAGTCAAGCAAGCCTTCAGTGTCTTGTGCCATGCCCATTTATCTTCCAGAGCCAACTCGTTGACACCCCACAGCTGAATATGTGCCCTCATACACTACAATATCAAACATGCATTGTACTCTGACATTGATTCAAATGGAATGATCTACGACAGCACAATCAGCGACATTTAAAAACACGACACAATACATAGCTTTACATTTC